TGTGCTATACTGCATGGCTTTATCCATCTTCAGTAGCAGGAAAGTGGGACGTAAAACACCATTTCATTGAATCTCCCTTAAGATAAAAGAAATTACTTGGTCAAGTGTAAGTTATATATGGGAATATCAAGAGTTAACAGGTTAACAGTTCTCAAATCTTAACTTCTAACACAAATCTTAACTACTAACACAAATCTTAACCACTAACGCAAATCTTAACTAACTACTAACACAAATCTTAACTGCTAACACAAATCTTAACTACTAACACAAATCTTAACTATTAACGCAAATCTTAACTATTAACACAAATCTTAACTACTAACACAAATCTTAACTGCTAATACAAATCTTAACTACTAACACAAATCTTAACCGCTAACACAAATCTTAACTGCTAACACAAATCTTAACTACTAACGCAAATCTTAACTACTAACACAAATCTTAACTGCTAACACAAATCTTAACTACTAACACAAATCTTAACTACTAACACAAATCTTAACTGCTAATACAAATCTTAACTACTAACACAATTCTTAACTACTAACACAAATCTTAACTACTAACACAAATCTTAACTGCTAATACAAATCTTAACTACTAACACAAATCTTAACTACTAACACAAATCTTAACTGCTAACACAAATCTTAACTGCTAACACAAATCTTAACTACTAACACAAATCTTAACTACTAACACAAATCTTAACTGCTAATATTCTGTAAGTTGATTCTATTGCCAATGTGTTTCTAGAGATGATATAGTGTGATTCTTATCAAAGACCACTTTGAGAAAAAAATTCCCAAATGATTTCATTTTCATGATTTTAACAGTAAAGCTTTCCATCATTTTAATCAAATTACTAAAGAGTCAGATTTCTTTAATTTATAACATTATTGTTCAGATGGACACAATAAAATTTCTTCTCCTTTTATCATGAAAGGAAATATTGTTTGAAGAATGCAATAAGTTGGAAATGACAGGAATGTATCAAAATTTGATCAAAGATGCAACTTTTCTACCTTTGATGCGAATTCATGAAATCTCATTTTAAGAATTGTAGATTTTAAAATCGTTTCTGTTACATGTTTTGAAATATTTTCAAAGGAATGAAATATCTGTTTTAAAGCTTTAGATCTCTCAACCATCTTTAATTTTCTTTGTTAAATAAAAGTCAGTGACACTCTTGGCTTTGTTATTAGATTAAGAATTTGAAACCCTAACAATCGGAAACTTTCAGATAAATAGTGGCAGGTCTGAAAGAAATTTTTTTTTTAAAATTAAAAGTTTCCTTATCTGTTTTATGAAGTTTCTTTGAAGAATTTATAGGAAATTTCTGAAAGACATGAAGTAGCATAAGTCTTTCTTAAAAGAATGAAAATATTGTTATCACTTATTCAAGTGTACCTTTTTTAAGAATTTGGAAAGAAAATTCTGAAAGTACACTCAAGTGGCATCTAGTTTTTGGAATTGTTTTAAAAAATCAAATTGTTTTTTACACTCGTGAAAGACTCAGTTTTTGAAGTATATCATATGAAATTGGCGAAATTGCATACAAGCGGCATAAATCTTAAAAGATTGTTTTTAAAATCAAATTATTTTTTTGACTCATGCAAGTCTCTGTTTTTGAAGAATTTCTGAATGAAATTTGAAATTAAACACGACATGAAATGGGTCAGAATTAAGTCCAATACACCAGGGAGACATGGTCCTGTCTAACAGTCAGCCCATAGGGACAGTACAATAAATATTATGGCTAAAACGATTTAAAATGAAAAATTTACACAATATATTGATGTACAATTTGTTAAAAAATACACAAGTATATGTGTATTAAATGGACAAATTATGTTGCTGTGGGACAAAATGCAAAAAAGGATTATAGCCTAATTTATTACCAGAATAAAGTGATTATTATTATTATTATTATTATTAAGTACATGACCATAATAAGATACTTACTTAGTCTGTAGGAGATTTAAAATAAAATGTTTTTTTTTATCATGAAGTAAAGATATGTCCTTAGATTCCAAGTTAATTGAAGGAATTGTTCAACATTCAGTGCTTCTGACTAGATAACCCAGTGTCAGTTGTCATGGCAGTACATAAAAAAATGTTAAAAAGAGAAAGAAACAATCAGGATAACAACAGTTCATAAAATAGAAGATAATTATATCCTTAAAATTCCCAGTTTTGATATGAGAGTATAGCAAGGGTTAATGGCCCATTGTATTTAATAATGAAAGTGACTTTTAACACTTTGAATTATTAACACAACAGTGTGCAAATCAAACACGCAATGTGATAGTGAACTCTCTAAATTAATGGCTGGAATGGCATCAAATTAAGGGAAGTTTAATGGCCAGGGAATGTTTAATTATTCTATGATAGTTGTCTGAGAACATCTGGTCTGGAAGTGGACCAACAAGTTATTGTCCCTACATTGTCATAGTTACCAATAACACTTGTTGTATGACAATTACATTCTTGCTTTATGCCATGCTTGGTCCATTTGTCACTTTACTGGCTTTCACTTGATTGGGGTGGTTTGTGATTCTATTAAATGTCTCTGCGGCTGGCAATACCAAGTTACCATTAACGGCTATGTTAACTTGAGAAAAGGATGCTACTCTGTGGAATGGTGAAAATACCAAGAAAAAACAAATGGATAATCCTTGACTGGGATTTGATTATTTAACATTTTTAACTATGTGGACTCTCTAATATGACTTGGTAATTTTAACAGCTTTAAAGACTCTCTGAAAAGATGAAAGATTGACTAGATTTCTAGCTTAATGAACGAACAGCTTATTTGGTTACTTCAGGATGTCTTTGAATTTTGATAGTTTAAATGGCCAGGTATGGATCTTGAGTGATTTACAATAAGTTTTGTTTGTATAACTTGATTCTAGGTAAATAAAATATGGACCGACATGTTTCTTAAAATTCCAGGCAAAGAGTGATATGAAATGTATGAATTCTGTGGATCTTTAGTAATTTTGTGATAAATTTTTTCTTGTTTCACACCATTTGTGATAAAATTTATCGTTGATAAGAGAATTTGGTTTGTATCAAAAGTCATCGTTTTTAAATTATAGTATCAGAAAATAGCATTATTCCTGATTAAGGCAGAGTTTGATTTAAATCTGTTGGTCAAGTTTAATATTGTAAGTTTGCGTGACTTGACACTATTAATATGGATCTCAATACATCAAGTACACCACAATTGTTACCAAACAAGTACTGTGTGATAAAACTCAGCCAGATATTGGATTTTTAATAGTCTTAGAAACAAGTGGCTAGTTCTCAAGGAAAACTGTGGAAGCTAATTTTGTTGAGTTCTTACAGATAAATATATCAAATGAACAAATTGACTATGTGGACTCTCCAAAGGGGACTGAGGAAACAGAGATTCAGAGAAACAGTAGAAGCATCATATGTTAAGGAAATAACGTGTGAATAATTTCTCATGGATAATAGATTTTTAATATTCTAAGAAATAAGAGTTCTTTGTGAAATCATTTAAGCTAAGCTTTGTGGGTTTCGAACAGATAAATAAGGATTTAAAAAATATTCTAAGAGATTGGTAACTTTGTGGCTTGAAGAAGTTATGGTTGATACCCATGTATTATATAGTAAATTTTTATTAACGTCTTGGACATTGAATTCTTGTAGAAGGGGAACAAGTGGTTGATTCAGCTGTGACTTTCTGAAAGTCACAATGGAAAAGCTTGTTCTTGATGCAAATTGTTTATGAAGCTATGCTGTGGAAAATTGGAGTTTTTTGAAAATTGACCATTGTTTTGGGATTGTTAATGAAAAGAAAAATCAATATGGTTGTAAAACATTGGAATTGGTTGGTGTATATCAGATGGTGATATTAGATTCTTCCTTCTCCAAGTTTATAAAAATTCATGTTCTTAAATCAAAGATATATCCCGTGTAGAAACTAACAGAAATTATTTTTATTAAATTGTGTTATGTGTATGTCAACACACATTATTGGAATGACTACTTGCAAAATATTAACCTTGTTTTTTATATCTTGAAATCTTCATTAACTTGAATTGAAGCAGAAAAGTAAGACCTTTAACTGGATTTCAGTTTCATTACGTATTTGTGTGTCCCTTTCATAGTTCTTGACAAGTAAGAATTATGTCTTTTACAGACAATAGTGACTTCAAAAGTCTTGAATTCTGTCTGAGCTAAGAAAGAGTCTAGATAACTTTTGATTAACAGAAGGGATTGCTAGTATTTTCTGGATATACTATATCAATATCAATAATTACTATTACTATAGCTGATTACTATTGTTTCTGTAAGCTTACTCTGTGTCTGACACTATAATTGTGCTGGGCTCTCAGACAGACATATCCAAAGGGTTTACGGAGTTGATCTATATGTGGTTTAGATATACCATACCACTGTTTGAATTTTCTTGTGTTTTTTTTAGTATTGTGAAATATGGTATTGTATCAGTATTGTAAGTGATTATTACTTACTTACATATGTTTTTATTATATCTGCTATAATATTATATTTTTGCCTAAATGTTTATAACTAAGTGTTTATAACTGTACTGGATATTGTGAATACAGGAATTGGAATAAAAAAAAAAAAAAGTGATTATTGAATACAGCAAATTTACTAACATCTTGTGAATATCTAAGTTCCTCTATGACATAAATTATGCAAAATTTCAACTTTACAGAAAACCAGTATTTTTCTATTAATTCACTTTTGTAAATGATTATTGGAAATCTGACTACAAAATAGGGATTAAACTATATATTTAAGCTATTGCTGTAGGTAACTGGCTTAACTTTCCTTTTGACTGTGGAATATAGAAACTTTAGTCTGTATATTTGAATGAGTATGACATTTTTTCTACAATTGATGCTTTTTTATGGATAACAAGTGTTCGCAACTGTTGAAACAAGAAACAGAATGTGCTTGATTTAGTGTATATTTACTAGTTCAGTATATTAACAATGGCAGGAAGAACAATATATTTTGGACATAATTTAAACATCACATTACGTCAGGGAGAATATTCAAGACAGGTAAGACCAAGTTTAATTTTGATGGGTTATGTCCCTTGTACCATATGTTGGTAGATATTATTGTAATATCTCACTTCTTAATACTTTCTTGTGAAAATTAAAGAAGTTCAGTAGATAAGAGAGTAGTCACCTGCTTCCTCTCCTGACACCTTAAGGCTCTTCTCTATCAATTTGATGATTTATTTTTCATATAAATACTGTCTCTGACAGGCACAAGATCAGATCAAATTCTAAAGATTGAAAAAATGAAAAAGACCTATAACAATACATTGAAATAATATTAATATTGATCTGATTGTATCTCATGATATTGTCCTAGATAGTAGTGGCAGGTGTCGTGCACAACAGACCATGCTTACTCTTTTCGAAACACCTGATGGTACTTATCTTTGGAGGAGTCCACTACTATAATATTTTACTCTTGATTTTGCCATACTTTGGATGAGATTTTGATAAACGGAATTGTCTTGCTTGTACTTCATAATATCTTTATAACAAAAGGGTAAAAATTAGTCCATACAATACATCAAGCATCAAGATCAGATCTAGAGTAACCACTGATAGACAATACAACCAACAAAAATATTCAAATTCATTTATTTTCCCAGTCTTTCCATTCTAGAATATCTCCGGATTTTGACTTGACAATGGCATGTTTTTTCCCAAAGATAAATATTGACTCTGGCTTGGTATTGCAGACAGAAGGATCAGGTTATTTTAAGAGATTGTAAAAATCAAACAAAAGAATAACACCAGAGCAAAGTTTAATGGATGAGCATCAGTAAAAGAATTTGTTAATTTTATTATTCTGCAATTTGAGAGTTTGTTTTTTACAACGTGTCCATTATCCCCATTTGAATTCCTGTGGTGAAGAAAGGATGGCTATTTCACAATCGCGTCTGCTTAATTTACCAATTACACTGTTCAATGCGTGTCCACGATCGTAAATATTTCATGAGGTTTAATCGTGAACAAATATGACTCACGGAGAGATCACACCTCGAAAATTATCGTTATTGGTTAGAATTTGATTATAGATTCTCCCAGGATTCTTTGGATAATTTCACAATTTTATTTTTTCTGATCTATTCTACATCGTTTCAGATATGAAACCGTAAAAACTGACATTTTTTAAAAATTTTCTCAATCATTGTCTCTTGATACACCTAAAAAAATCGTAGTTTCTCAGTTTAGAAATTCTTTCGTTTCTGATTTGTAAAATGATGTTAAAGTTGAAAAAGAAAATGATAGAAAAATAATAATTTGATTTTGTTGAATTGATATGATATGCTCTTTTATTACTCTAGAGATTTCACACGCTTTTAATGTTTGTCATCTCAGTTTACATTCTGAAATACATCACTGTGATCAATATACCAAATTAACATTATTAGCTATGTGGATCTCTGAAAGAAATATTGAGTTGACAAACCAAATTTATTGGCTATGAATACTCTCTGATTGAGAGATGTTGAGTTCACGAACCATATTAGCTGTGTGGACTCTCAGAAAGAAATGTTGTGTTGACAACCCAAATACCAAATAAACATTATTAGCTATGTGGACTCTCTGATAGAGAGATGTTGAGTTGACAAACCAAATAAACAGTATTAGCTATGTGGACTCTCTAATAGAGAGATTTTTAGTTGACAATCTAAATACCAAATTAACATTAGCTATGTGGACTCTCTGATAGAAAGATGTTGAGTTGACAAACCCAAATACCAAATTAACATTAGCTATGTGGACGCTCTAAAAGAAATGTTTAGTTCACAAACCCAAACCCATTATCAATATTAGCTATGTGGACTCTCTGAAATGTTTAGTCCACAAACCCAAATGCCAAATTAACATTAGCTATGTAGACTCTCTAAAAGAAACCCAAATACCAAATTAACATTAGCTATGTGGACTCTCTGAAAGAGAAAGATTTCTACTTTGACAAACCCAAAGACATATATGTACGCTGTAAAGTGATACAGGCAGTCCAAATTGAATTCTATAACCTTGTAAAAAAAACAATTTAGAGAACAGCATCCCTTCATATAATTCTAACTATTTAGAAGCATAAAATATTTATTACATCCTTTAGGAAATATGAAATTTCACTTCTGATGTTTTATTTCATTTAGATCTATAAAATTCTGACAGATTTGTTTAAATGATGGTATTTTCTCTACAATAGTCAGGAAACTTGAGGCAGCTGTACAAATACTGGGGATAATGAAAACGAAAAAATGATCATCCCTCAATGACAATGCTTCTATTTCATGATCATTAATTTCTGTGGAAATTTTATTGTTGAAAAAAATACTGGTAAAATCTGATTGTCTTTGTTTAAAGGGGCAGTCTGATTTTTTTTAGTAGTTTTTTTGAAAATGAAAATTATACCAAAATAAAGAGTAATGTGTTCTCACCTTATCTGAAATATTTTAGCAAAAAAAAGTTACCGTTAATTTTTTAATTGTTAAACTATTTAAAAGGTTTATGTTAAAAGTTTGTTATGTATTTGGTGGTAACTTTGCATACAGCCTCTTTAAAGGATATTATTTCAATGTTTTTTTCAAATCCAATAAACAAATTCCACCAGGTTTGTTTTTCTCCAGGTATAGGGTTTGCTACAACCTATGTCTTAAGTTTACACAAAATTTCTTCAAATTATACTGTTTAGAATATGAGAGATATACTAGAGATATACTAGAGATATCCTAGAGATATACTTGCGTCAGAGTTTCCACATTATTCAAAGTATATTTGAATACCTTAGGATGTACTAGTGCAAGAAACTCTGACCCTATCTGCTTTGGCAAATGATTATGACAGACCAGATGGTGTTCGATTGTTGTTGGTCAAAAATGATGCTATTTTATGCTGGTGAATACTTTTGTTTTCAAATGACACAAATAATTTCCATTTTGTGATTCTTGATCCACATGGAAATGTCATGATTTCTCAGTAAAAGACAGGTATAATGTCAAGGTCTTGCTAACATATCTTTGATTGAATACAGGTAGTCTCAAATTTCAAAGAACAATGCTGGATACAAACATTAGTTCTTTCATTCATATCCTAGACGACTTCTGACATTAACATCAGCGTTACGCTGTTTACCCATGGTGCTTGTGGTTGAAGATCGTGAAGGTCTAGACTGTCAAATATTTGTCTAATTCTCAACTCTGACTATTGGGAGATCTTCACTTTAATCATCCAGCCACTCAAGGTCAAATGAAGGACAATAGTGAGTCAATATCAACTGTAGGAATTCCCTGAGGTATTTCCCACTTTTATTGGAATTCCCTAAGGGATATCCCCTAATTGACAGAGATCAAACAAGTGCTATTGAAGATGTAAATGATATAGAAACTGAATTGATTTGATTTGGTTATAATTAGTGGTTAATGACAAGTAAATCTGTGAATTATTTGTCAGTGAGTGGGGATGTGACATGCTACCATTGTTGATCCCAAGGTTATTGAGAATGCTATATATCTGAAGCATTGACATCATCCAAGCAGTGAAGCTGTTGACCTTAAAAGGAAGTCGGGATACTATTGAACAGCATTGTTGATTCCTAGGTCAATATCAAAGTACTGTTGACTTGGAGCATGTGTTAAAAACGTCAACTTGATAGGACAACATTGTTGACATTGATAATGTGCCTATCATTTGACATCCCTCAAATTTCATTTTGACTCTTCCATACATGCATTCTTTCAATCAGTATGTTCAGTTTGAAGATCTCATTAGTAAAATTTGAGGTGTTTTTTGTTGCCAATTATCTTTTATCTGGCTTAATTGTTGATCGAAGGTTATTACCTTGACTGCTATATATCATTGCTTTGATATTAAGTTCATATTGAAGCTGTTAAATTTGAAAAAAGCTCTTCTTCAAAAGTGACCCTATGCATCTTAATGTATGTCTGGCATATCCACAATAACCATCCAAACCCTTGCTGATAACCCTAGTGTTCTTCCCTATTCAACAGGTGTGCAATTATTTACCATCTATTTTGTCTCTCTATTTAGGTCTTTTTTTTTTTAGGTCAGTAAGCCCCCACTGATGACCTCAGCTTCTTCCAGTTCAACAGCTATTGGATGTACAATTATTTTTCCCCTCATTGAGCAAGCATCTGTCTTATCTTAGATAGGGCCTTCCTTTCCCCCTTTGATAAATTCAGACATGGCTGGTACATCCAAATCAATCACCCTGAATCCTCACTGGTAGCTTTTCGCAGTTCTACAAGGGTTAGATGTCAATTATTTTCCCCTTTGCCTTTGTAGAAAACACCTATCTTGTCATAGAAAGGTCTTTTTCCTAATAGCAACAGTATTCCTTCTAGTGCAGGTGGCACTCCCTACTGATATATTCAGACATGACCGGTGCATCAAAACAATCACTCTTGAAACCTCAGCTTATGCCAGTTTTACAGGTGTTTGATATACAATTATTTTCCCCGTTGTTTTTATAGCAAGAACCCATCTTTTCTTCAAAATGTCATTCATTGATATATTCAAACATGACTGGTACATCCAAAACAACCACAATAAACCTTCACTGCTAACCTCAGCTCTTTCAGGTTCTACAGGTGTTTGGTGTACAATTATTTTCTAATTAAACAGTGTTTTGTTTCCGCCATGTTTATTTTTGAAAACTGAACCGATAGCACAGATGTTTCTTGTTTGTATCAGGTAGTTTGGAGTCTGGTTGAAATCTGAGTCAAGAAATTGGGTGTAAAAAACGTGGGTTGTGTAAGGTACTTTAGTTCTTACTAATTTAATCAGGTTTCTTCTTGCTGTTGAATGTTGAAGTTGTTTCAGAAATGGTTCAGCTTTGAGCTTAAAAATGATTTTGAGCTTAGTCCTTCCATCACAATGCTTTGCTCCTTGAAGATGAGCAAACTTTACTAAGATGGTGCTGATGCCACTAATTTCAATTTAAAACTATCAAGGAATAAGATGGATCATGGTCATTGTTATTCGGCCTTATCTTGAATGATCCAAGATGGCCAAGTATTCATCTTGTGATTCGTACCTGCAGTTTGATGAGCACAGATTAGGGAATATTCAGGAAGAGAATCTCCAGCAAATGGATTCAATATGGGTTTGATTTGCGTAAGATGGTCTTGTAATATGTAGTAAACAAAACACAAAGTCAAGTCTTGCACTCAAATAATAGAATATACAAGATAACTTTTGACACCTAAAGATGAAGAAGAAAAAAAATCCACCAAAAGATAACATATTCTGACCTAACTTCAATCTAAATCAGATAATTTTGGCATATTTAGCAGCCCAGAGTTATCAAGGTCTCTTGGGAAAGGTTCAAGGTCGTCCAGTACAAATATATAAAAGATAGAATTTGGATAATGTAAAGTTTTAAATTATTTGAATAAATAAAATGTGATGGAGTTTTATATCAGACTTTTCTACACCTGATTAGATTGTTTAAGTGCTATGAGATATTTTTTCCAGAACAGCAGCATTAGGCTATTCTCTCTCTCTCAGTCTGTGATAGTCAGGAGCAGGCTCAGTGAATTAAATGCTTCTTCCCTAACCAGTATAAGATTCAATCCCAGCATAGGTGGAGATAATTCCTTCAGATTTTTCAACACAGCTTCCCCTTGTAATGATGCATCTGAGGGGATGACATGAAAAAGCATCAAGTCATTTGAACTATGAAACCCAAGGCCAGTCCCTGTGTGCTACATACATAATTGAATTCTGTCACAGGACTTTGTGAAATCTGGAATTGTATATAAATTGTCGACAGAGTACAAATAGATCTTTATTGAATGGAGACAGATTGTTTTACAAAATTTGTTTAAAAAAGATTCAATTTGAAATTTATCTATTAGCTCAAAGACGGAAATTTAAATTTATTTTTGTAACAAGTCTGAGATTAATGTGTAGAAACATATAATTTATTTTTATAAGTAAGTATTTATATCTTTAACATAAGTGAAACACGAGGTATCAAAGACTCTAACAGAAATATAAATATTGTTTTAATTATCGTGAAAAAACATATATTTATTATAAAAATATGAATTGTTACAACTGTATTTTATAAAGGCTAGAAGATTAAAAGGCGGTACGTTGAAATTCAGACAAGATTCAGCAAGCTTAATTTATTATCAAAATATACATTGCTTTGAATTGAAGAGATCTGTTTTTAACGTAATGAAAGAAATTGATAATTTTAGTTAAACAGACTTGTGAAAAATTTGTCAAAACTTCAAGCACAATATTAAAATAGCATCACACTTTGTATTGACATGTTAAATAAAAATCAAGATTTCTGCATGCTCCATGTATTATCAAAATATACATTGCTTTAATTTGATGAAATCTGTTTTTAATTAGATAACTTAGCAAGATATACTTGTGAAAAACATATTAAAATGGAATTAAGATTTGCATTACTTGAAACATAATTTCAACAAGCTAAAATATACATAGCTTTGTAAATTAAGATGTAAGTATATGATCTGTTTTGATTATTAAAAATGAAAGCAATGCAATAAAATTATCAAGACAAACTTATAAATTTGCTAGTCAACTTATCAAAAATGTTTTGATTTTTATCAAATTATTTGTAAGGATACAGAGCCTTTATTGTAGGATGTAAACCTCTTATTAATATTAATTATAGAGTATGTTGCCAAATTAAAAAGTGAACGAAATTGAAGGCTAGTACATGCAAAGTTAAACTTCAGATTGTGTCTATTTTAAACAAGATCTTACCAGTATATGATGAAAATAGGTAAACTAAGAGCAAATTATCATTTGTATCACCATCCTTCCCCCCTGAAATAATAAAACTCATTTGAAGGAATAATGTCAATTTATTACATAATTGACGTTAAAGAATAACAAGGTACCTAAACTAACACTTGTGTAGGGGCTTAATATACAAACATGCCGCCGACTAAAAAGCTAACAATCCGAACTAAGAAAGTTAAGAAACACTTCAACAGCAGTGGTTAAGGGGAGGAGGGAGGGAAACACGTTAAAAACAAACCAATTTCCAAAAGTATGGAAAAACAGTAAGTGTACCACTGACTGTGAACTTCTGGAATGACAAACCATGTGACATTCCAAACAGTCAGCACCACAAAATTCATTATCTGCAATAATGTTTATATTCAATTTTAATGGAAACTTTTATTCCTCTAATTAATACAATTAGCCCAATTAGGTTCCGTATAGAAGAGTAGTTTATATTAAACCTCAGTTCATGTCTAATTTTACCTTGATCTTATTAAATTACTGGTATTTGATGAACTATATTTTGACATCTTTCTTAATATTTTTCCTTACCTTTGACCTTTACAATGCACATGCATTCGATAGCTTGTATTTGACAAGTTGATTATGTTTATTATTTTAGCTTGTAGAAAATGGTGTGAGTTATTATCATCAGCCGTGTGTCTACGCCTCTTAGATTCTTCACATCTTGATGAAAATGTTCAACACGTTTTTGCTGTTTTTGTTTTCGAGGAATGTAATGAAATGATTGGGTAGAAAAATAAATAAGTATTTTGTAGATTTGGTTTGTCGTGATTGATTCAAGAGTGATGTTTACCAAATTCACTCATTTTGTCATTTTGTTACTGAGTTTCTATCTGATATATATATCATGTGATTTGGTTATTAACAAGTTTCCCTTATACAAATGATAACAAATCTAAAATAAGGGTGGAGGGGTGTCAAAGTTTGGCCTGTCCTTGCACTGATTTAGTCATTAATGAGTTTCAAATGATAAATATTTTGCAATTTTGTAAATTTAAATACAAAACCAGTGAAATCACAAGATTTTTTGTTTTATTTGTCTAAATTGATTCTAGATAGAACCTAGTAAAATATCAATATGAACTAATGTATAATGATTGTAAACATGTATAAGATAGGACTTGAGATATTGTTGATCTTTAAGGGTGCCTTCACAGTCAAGTGATCACCAGTTGGTTAGAATAGCATTCATTAGTTTGATAGGCAATTCTCATGCAACTTAGTTGTGAGTTGAGTTGTGTAACTTAAAACCAATTTCATTATTCTCAACTATAAGCAACTGGCAATTCTCTATAGTGTGTGGTCACCTTTTTCATGGCACACTAACACCATTCTGTCGATCTTCAACAATACTGCTTGGTTAAGTTTAATGAACTGTCCAATATATAATAGCTTTGACTGAATTCCTCAAAGTTATAGATAACTTGGCCTGATTTGCTGATGAAGTTGACACTCTGAATGAAGATTTAAGTGTAAGGTTTCATGACCAAATAGTAGTTTTCTCTAAAATTCTACAATTGTTAAATCAAGCATCAAGTCTAAATTCATTAGTGTTGTCTTATTATCCACTAGTTGGATTGATGAATCAAGTCTTGAATTAAAGATTGAAAAGTTTGACTGAATAATGGAAAACCATTTGGCATGATTCATTACAGAACCTCAAGCTTTTAATTGTGTTTTTGTATCTTCAGCACGACACAAACAAAATTTGGCGCATTGGACATTTCTTCATTTCAACAGCTTGAATACAAGCTATGTGGACTCTCTGAAATGGATGCAGAGCACATTCAACCGCTTCGAATTCTGAAATTTTTTTTATGAAAGTACAAAGTAGCACACATATGTATCAACTTAAAGAATTAAGTTACCTGAGTACAGGTGAATTCTGTTTTTGTTGGTTTGTTTTGACTTTACCTGATGTAGAAGTTGGCAAGCAAGTAGCATAACATTTAATTTATATAATGAAGAGAAGGTTAATACCACACAAGACGATACATATTGTCTTTTTCTTGCTGCATCAGCATATATTATAGCCAGGGTGGAGCGTAATTCAAGTTAAAAAAAAAAGGCAAAAGGGGTTTAGATAGATTTTAAATAAATGAATAGAAAAAAGACACCTCAACAGTTTGGATGCCCTGAAGGTGACCAAGAGCAAGGGTCGAGCTTCACTAATCCGTAGGAATACCTAGCCTGTGACAGTAGTTAACTGGAAGCAGACGTTAACTTGTCAACCAACCAACCAACCAGTCAGTGCCTACCTAAAATTTTAATGTGTATTATGTACAGGTTGGCACCATGCTTATATCACAGATTGGACAGTGGATCTTTCATTCATTATCAAATAACAAGAAATCAATTCATATTGTAATTGATGGTGAGTGAATTCTGGATCTATAGGTGGAAAATAGACTCATTCTTTGTGGAAAATTCAGTGCTGTTTTCGATTACTTGGTTAGAATGAGAGAACCATTGTTGAAACATTGCATTATTATTAAAACAGTAATGGTTATCAATAAAGCATATTATTTATTTACTGTATTCTCTAGTTTTACCAAAATATTTGTAGTGTTCTCTTAGTATGTTTAAAATCAAATGACCAAAGTTTGTTTTGCCAGTTGGAGGAACATTTGGTCTGATTATCACCAGCTGAGGTCCAAAAATACAACACAGTTTATTTTTCCTGCTGGCCTGTTCCTAGCGCCAGGTGTTGATTGTGAAGTTTATATCTTGGTATTTTAAATTACAGCCACACTTCTGTTCTTCTGTTTAAATTCTACTTGGCATTGTTTCAAATGTTATACTGACATTGAACTACATTTAAAAAACGGATTTCACATTCAGATAGTGAGATTTCTTGGTTTGATTTCAATTTCCAATAACACAAATCTATCATGAATCTTGGATTATTTTGATATGCTACAAAACTTAACTTGTATTTCATCTCTTATTTACCAAATGATTCCAAATTTAACAGGAAATATGAAGGGCTGACATGGAAGTGTCTAGTTGTAAATATGGGACAAACTTCGGCCCTGTGTGCAAGCATGTTGACGATCTTGTGAAAGTTGAAAATTGGATAAAACAGTAGGCTAATACCGCTTGGAAAAATTTCCCTCATTGTACACTGCATGACACTTCCAATTCTCGTTAGCCAAACAAAGTGCCAAGTGAGACATAAAATTCAATTTCATCTTACTAAATGGCATTTGTATTGTGAGCAGAAGTTGGCACTTACCACCCTTCAAGACTGATCTGCGTCTTAAGTAATTTCAAATCACAGAGATATTTTTACCTAATGCCTTTTGATTGTTATAAGAAAGAGGAAGAGTATAAAATTTACTTAAACCTTTCAAGTCTCCAGAGTTAATAAAATACAAGATTGGTGATGTAAGTCTTGGGTTTGATGAAAAAGATTGTTTTGAAGAAGATCTGAAAGATAGGATGATATCAAACAGTGTTTATATCAATGCTACATTTGTTTTCTCACTGTTTAACAGTATTGTTTGTCAAAGAGAATTTGAAATTTGAGTTGGATTTCTTCTTTTATTGTAAAATATTTATCTTTGAGATGTAGTACCCAACTGTTCTTGTAGGAGATCACAGTTGCCTTTAGCAGCAAGTTTTAGGTACATTCTCAAGACGGTATATCAGATTGGTGAAAATTTAAAATCTCAGTCCCAAAATCAGTGTTGGTCAAGAAACCTTCAATTTTAACACGAGTCTTTGAGGTTTAGTGCCAGAATGTATTTAGTGTAGTTCAATGTAAAAGTTTTAGTTGCATTTTCCATCTAGTAACGATTACAAATTGGGGAAAATTTAAAATCTGTCTCGAAAACTGTGTTGGTCAAGGAACCTTCAATTTTAACACGAGTCTTTGAGGTTTAGTGCCAGAATGTATTTTGTGTAGTTCAATGTAAAAGTTTTAGTTGCATTTTCCATCCAGTAACTATTTCAAAGTGGGAAAGATTTAAAATACAGGTTCCAAAAACTGTGTTGGTCAAGAAACAAAACAAGTAGCTAACATGACATCATAAGAGCTCATGCCAACTTTACTACAATGTGTTAAAAAAATAACTAAAAATATGGAAAGAAAAGATTGCCTGTGTGACATTTTAGCATGTGATCTGTGGCTTCTTATCAGTTATCATAATAAATGTGTGCAAAGCCCATTTCTTACAGACGAAAATTGATTATGACCTTTTGGAGCTTCTATTTGACATAATAGCAAATATCATCAACATCCCTGGCTATATCAGCTATGTCATTATAAACTACAGCTTCTAACACATGAATTATTCATGCATTCAGAGACAAAAAAAACAACAAGTATACAGAATAAAAAACTCTGTTTTACGTCAAAGTGAGGAATATTTATTGTTAGACTGTAGTCTATAGAGAATTAAAATACAATGTTCTTGAATAAAATTTACTTATCTATCTATATTGGTTTTTATTGTTGTTTTATTTCACCTTTTTCTTGAAATGGATCTGTCTTTATCTGCTTTTTTGATTATTTAATCTTGACTTCTTCAGGAAACTCAATGATGATCCAGGTCCGTAGCCAGACTTGTGCAGAGGGGCAAGTAATGGGACAATTACCTTCCCTTGTAGATATAAACCTGTGATGATCCGAACATGATGTCAACTATCATGTTAATCATATTAAGTGTTGTTAGAAAGGCAGGTCATGCTCACTGTTACAGTGCTTCAGATGTCACCTGATACTGGATCTGTCTACTCAACATTGTTTTCAGAGACTTCTTGATATATTTTCAGTAAAACCAACTAAGTCCTATCCAGTGCATTTTTATAACTTTATTCTAAGGTTTTACAAGTCCTTTATAACCAGGTTTTGGTTCCATTTTGACAACAGGTTAATTCAGTTTTACCTAAGTTTGGGGTCAGTACAGTCATCGGTTGATTTCGCAATGTGTACAGTGACTATTACTAGCTATTAATTACTAAAAGTTGATATATACCTTATATATATATATCTGTACTATCAGTGAAACTGAGTGTCATGCAAAACACATATTAACCACAGAATTACTTTCAGATTTATTGTAAACTTTCTGTATCAGACTGACGATTTGTCTTCTTTCTCTCATTCATCTAATTGAAGGATATATTTTTAACTGTAAGTTTGTTCGTGATTGAACGTGTTAAGAATAAAACAGAAATTTGTAGGACACGTTAAGGACAGACATTTTCTTTTGTGTAAAATTAGGAAAGTAGTACTTTAGTTTGCATGTAATTTCAGAGTGTTGCGAATTATTCAGAAGGATATTATAAAGGGTCATTGCAATATCACAATTCTTGATAAGAGAGCATAAAAAAATTTTCTTTGAGCATAAAGTATCTCATTGGTCAAATATTTGATATTGCTTGAAATTAGATATTAAGTATCATTGTTTCTCAAATATAAATTTTATTTAATCAAAATTTTATTAAGTTCTGGTGCTTTATTAATTCCATGAATTCTGGAATTCCACAGAAATGTTCAAAATTACAGGATTAATCACTTCATTCCGTAACAGAAGCAGACACAATAGTGAATTAATTGACGTTAATTGAACGACTGATAACCATTTTAATTGGTCAATAAGTTAATCAGACTGCAATAAAACTGAAATCTGATTGGTTGTTAATCTATTAGCGTCGAACATCAAACCATTTTAAAACTATTTTCCCCTCGGACCATAGACAGATGTTAGGATAATAAAATCATAATA